TGTACATATATTATATATATGCACAGTGAAATCACATTAACGTGATGTATCAATGAGAAAATCAGTAGGAACCTTTAGAAGGATTCGAACCGGCTCACTTGGTGTTCACAAGCAATAGTGCCCCTAGACCACTACGCCACAACGATTAGGCTTATTAATTGCTTAATAAACCTAATTAAAAAAAATTAAGTTATTATGCATTTATTCAGTTGCAGCTTTCAATAGATTCAACTGCTTTCAATACGCTTCAATAGTAATCATCATTCAATATTAATGCGAAATAGCTAAGTCTTTGGCACCTTGCTGCGCGTAATGAGACATTATACACCATTTATTTGTATAATGGTGGATGTATAACTATTCGCAGTGATATCCAGTCGACTCAGTTCAGGCGTCTTAAAGCGTGAACCTCTATCCTTCCAGTATTAAAGACTAGTTCGGGGATATTTCCTGGTAATTCAAGCTATTTTGAGAGTCTTCTTGGTATCATCTGATTATCGTATCTTCTTGTGTCCTCGTGCATGATTCCAGTCATTTCCTGTTTGGTTTGTGTATCTATGTAGTTATCTTGCCTCAAGTGGAGTTGGGTTGCTTCCGTGCCTCCTCAGCCAGAATAAAACATCTCTTTTGTAGAGGTAAACAGTAGTTCTGTAGTTTGTTTCTTAGTAGAAGTAGGCAGTAGTTCCGTCGTTTGTTTCTTAGTAGAAGTAGGCAGTAGTTCCGTCGTTTGTTTCTTAGTAGAAATAGGCAGTAGTTCTGTAGTTTGTTTCTTAGTAGAAGTTGTTGTAGTAGTTGCTCTGTTGTAGAAATAAATAGTGGAAACAGCGGAGGTAATCAGGGGCAGTAACAGCAACAATAGTGTTTGGAAAAAACGTTAAAAAAAAATAAAGCAGGCACAGCGGGAGCAGCACGAGGCACAGCTGCCAGGCACAGCGGGAGCAGCATGAGGCACAGCTGCCAGGCACAGCGGGAGCAGCATGAGGCACAGCTGCCAGGCACAGCGGGAACAGCATGAGGCACAGCTGCCAGGCACAGCGAAAGTAGCATGAGGCACAGCTGCCAGGCACAGCGGGAACAGCATGAGGCACAGCTGCCAGGCACAGCGGGAGCAGCATGAGGCACAGCTGCCAGGCACAGCGGGAACAGCATGAGGCACAGCTGCCAGGCACAGCGGGAACAGCATGAGGCACAGCTGCCAGGCACAGCGGGAACAGCATGAGGCACAGCTGCCAGGCACAGCGGGAACAGCACGAGGCACAGCTGCCAGGCACAGCGGGAGCAGCATGAGGCACAGCTGCTAGGCACAGCGGGAGCAGCATGAGGCACAGCTACCAGGCACAGCGGGAACAGCACGAGGCACAGCTGCCAGGCACAGCGGGAACAGCACGGGGCACAGCTGCCAGGCACAGCGGGAGCAGCATGAGGCACAGCTGCCAGGCACAGCGGGAACAGCGCGGGGCACAGCATACAGTGGCCGCTACCGCGTCTGTACTGAAGCAGTACATTTTACCTCCGAATTTATATAGATTTGTGCAAAAGACATTACGTTTCTGACTATTTCCTTCTTCCTTTTATTGCTTAAGTGAACATTTGACAGATTTCTTGACCTCAGCTCGTAAATTATATCCGTAAGAAATATACAAAGTCACCGTCAATATATATCAAGGTTTTGTAACTGTCTCACTTTCTAAAGTTGCCTGTTTACGTGTATATCTGCATGTGTTCCTGTTTACTGTCTGTTTTGTTCTCTTTGTTCCCTTAACTTCTGTTTCCTCGCCTCGTCATCAGTGACCACAATGAACCTTCCACACACACACACACACACACACACACACACACACACACACACACACACACACACACACACACACACACATACTAGGAGGGTGATGTTAGAGGCTGTTTGATTGTGTTTGCTAGGAAGTTGTGTGGTGTAGGCTGACTCCATACACAGTTTCAAATGTAGATATGATAGAGCCCAGTAGGCTCAGGAATCCGAACACCGGTTGATTGACGGTTGAGAGGCGGGACCAAAGAGCCAGAGCTCAATTCCGCAAACACAACTAGGTGAGTACATATATATATATATATATATATATATATATATATATATATATATATATATATATATATATATATATATATATATATATATATATCACATCTTTAATATCAGGGCCTCGTGGCCAAGGGGACATCAGTCGGGGATCGTAGTTCCACGGGCCCAAGTTCGATTCCTGGTCAAGGTAGAAACAAATGTTGAGTTTCTTTACCTTGATGCCTTTATCCACCTAGCAGTAAATATGTACCTGAGAATTAGACAGCTGTTTGGGCTACGTCTTGAAGATATGTGTATTTGATCCTACAGGGTCAAGTAGTAAATACAAATAGTACATATCCACACTCACACATACACACATATCCTCATAGCAAATAATAAATACATGTATGTATGCATCTAATTTTCTAAAGATAATTTTGTTATCATAACTGTAAATTATTTTTCTCGTGGTTGTCTGCCTGGATATATGTACTATACAAATTCAAAATACCTCTGCAAATACCCATATTTTAAAACAAAAGAAATCCATTTGTGAAAGAATAACACGATGCCCTCCGTTAGTAACTTCAACAAGTGGTCTACACACACCCACACACATGTACCTGAAGATCACATATAGTACATCGTAATCGGCTGTCCGAATTTCCCACGCCGGAGCAGACAGACAGACAGGCGCTCGTTCGAATGAGCATGGAAGCAAAAAGTATATGCGTCAAGGTATTTGTTTATTCGAATTTCTTTGTACCTGTTTGCGTCACTCGGTGGTCCGGAATTAATGGCTGGCCGGAGGGCTGTTCTGAGAAGCACTAATTAAATTCTATATTTATATGAGTTCTGTACTTCCTCTCGTGATTTTTTTGTTAATGTTTATATGACAAGACATTGCGAACATTTGCTTCAGTGCGTATCTTAGTTCCTCGCACTATTAACCACCTACAGTGTAGGGTACATACCCTGGCAACGCTATCATTTACCACAGCACATCCTCACCCCGCTATCATTGACTACAGCACATCCTCACCCCGCTATCATTAACCACATCACATCCTCACCCCGTTATCATTAACCACAGCACATCCTCACCCCGCTATCATTAACCACAGCACATCCTCACCACGCTATCATTAACCACAGCACATCCTCACCCCGCTATCATTAACCACAGCACATCCTCACCACGCTATCATTTACCACAGCACATCCTCACCCCGCTATCATTTACCACAGCACATCCTCACCCCGCAACATTAACCACAGCACGCGCCCTCGGTATGCAACCATTTACACTTCTGCTGTTCATATCTTACAACATTTCAAATGAATTTCGTAGAGCCTTGACCGCGTCTTTGTGGGTAATCATTAGCCTCTCACTCTTTTGCACGACGCAAAGTATGTCGCGTACGGCTTTTGTCTTGACCCTTTTGACCCGCTGTCTCTAAAAGTCAAATACAGTAACTTAATTTTCCATCATCATGGAGCCTAATTGCTGTCAAGTTTCGTCAGCATCCGCGGGACCACCTTCAGAGTATTTTCCTTCAGAGATGGAGGTGCAGAGTGGCTGGATAAGTCGCCTTCGTGCGGGAAGATGTGGTGACATAACTAGGGGGCCAACCCGTTCTCGCACTTTCTTTAAGTCAATATTGACTTATTGAATAAGTGCGTATGTGACATACTAATTTATTGTGAATATTTTAGTTTACCTTGAAAAGCTTCATAGAAAACACCGACCTTACCTAACCTTCTTAGTATGATAAGATAAGCATCTTATTGCTTCGTAATTACAATTATTACTTAACCTATTATAGGTATAGGTTAAGTAATAATTGTACCTATTATAGGTATGGGTTAAGTAATAATTGTAATTACGAAGTAATAAGATGCTTATCTTAACATACTAAGAAGGTTAGGTAAGGTCGGTGTTTTCTATGAAGCTTTTCAAGGTAAACTAAAATATTCACAATAAATTAGTATGTCACATACGCACTTATTCAATAAGTCAATATTGACTATAAGAAAGTGCGAGAATGGGTTGAGGGGGCACCTGAGCTGGCTAATCAACGTCAGCCACTTGTCTAGCGAACCAGCCACACAGCAGCCATCTTACAAACTATCCGACCGGCCATTTAGTAAAGTAGGCTGCCTAGCAAGCCAGTCAGCCAGCCAGCTAGGAAAGTAGTTAGTCAGCCAGCTGGTAGAATAGCCACATACGAAACCAGCCAGCCAGCTAGTGAGCCAGCCAGTGAGCCAGCCAGCCAGTTAGCCAGCCAACCAGCCAGCCAGCCAGCCAGTTAGCCAGCCAACCAGCCAGCCAGCCAGTGAGCCAGCCAGTGAGCCAGCCAGTGAGCCAGCCAGCCAGTTAGCCAGCCAGCCAGTGAGCCAGCCAGTCAATCAGCCAGCCAACGAGCCAGCCAGCCAGCCAGCCAGCCAGCCAGCCAGCCAGTTAGCCAGCTAGCCAGTTAGCCAGCCAGCCAGTTAGCCAGCCAACGAGCCAGCCAGCCAGTCAGCCAGTGAGCCAGCCAGCCAGCCAGCCAGCCAGCCAGTTAGCCAGCCAGCCAGCCAGTTAGCCAGCCAGCCAGCCAGTTAGCCAGCCAGCCAGTCAGCCAGTCAGCCAGCCAGCCAGTCAGCCAGCCAGTCAGCCAGCTAGCCAGCCAGCCAGCCAGTTAGCCAGCCAACGAGCCAGCCAGCCAGTCAGCCAGTGAGCCAGTCAGCCAGCCAGCCAGTAAGCCATGCAGCCAGCCAGTGAGCCAGCCAGTCAGCCAGCCAGCCAGTCAGCCAGCCAGCCAGCCAGCCAGCCAGCCAGCCAGCCAGCCAGTCAGCCAGCCATGCAGCCAGCCAGGCACCCAGCGGCCGATGCGACGCAACATAAATGATCACTGCTGAGTATAATTGTTGACTACGCTTTAAACATAATACGTGCCTCGCTGCCTCTTCGAGTTACCGCCATGGGCGTGGGCGTGGGCGTGGGCGTAATGGGTGTACAGGTGTAGAGGTGTACCTGGCGGCATGTCGGTCTTGTTTGCTCTCTTCATTTCAGAATACCATTCATTAAATCTCTGGCGGCCATAATCATTTGTCAATACTAATTATTTCTAAACTGAACACAAAGAAGAAATAACCCTATGAATTATAATTAATGGTTTGAATTAAAGTTCATTAATTTTGCATTTTCTTTAAGAGAACGCAATGTTCGGTGTTAAATAATATTCCTCATAGAGTTATGATTCAAAATGTACTGAAACCATTTAACTGATTTAAAATCTTGAATGAGTTATATATATATATATATATATATATATATATATATATATATATATATATATATATATATATATATAACTGAAAACTCACACCCAGAAGTGACTCGAACCCATACTCCCACAATGGTATGTACAGGGACGCCTTAATCCGCTTGACCATCACGACCGGACATAAGGAAGTGATAGCCAAGGCTATATGAACCACTTCCCCGCCGGCACTCGGATGGTAATCTTGGGCATAGCATTTTATCAAATCACCTCATTCTTTGGGGCACACGTGAGGAACACAAATGCATATATATATTATATATATATATATATATATATATATATATATATATATATATAATATAATATATATATATATATATAAAATATATATATATATATGCCTCATAGGTTAAGTTGCCTAAGAAGCCGAATTTTCCTAATTTATTTTCCAATTGGAACCCTAATTCCAATTTTTTTTCAATTGAAATGATAAAGCTTTCAGTTACATTATACATTTTTTATGCATTATATATTATTATCAATTTATTGATAATATTTATCTTAGGATATATTTTAGCATTATTGTTACTGTTATTATTTTACTGCATTATTTTTAAACCCCAACCTATAATATCACAACCTTTACCTTGGTAAAGGTAATACATAGAACACTATGTATCAGTGCTCTGACAGGCGGTTTGTTATTGTTGTACATCCTGTCCTCCCACTTGGCACGCTGTACACACAAGAGCACCAAGTGAATTGGTTTAATGGAGGTAAAATCAATGGAAATATGTTTTTTTGGGAGGAGGCACTGATCATTGCCCCCTGGTGGATTATATGAGTTGGAGTTTGCTCCTACGCTTATCTTTCGATAAACGCGTGTAAACTTAACGCTTGTCTTAACTCCTGGATAAAACTAACCTTGAGGAAAGAAAGGTAGGCTCGAGGGGTCGGCTGGAGTCGTCATGTCCGCACCTGGCGGGGGAGGAGGAGGAGGGAGAGCGAACACCTTCCTTGTACCAATTCTCTCGTTATTTATTTACGTCTTGTGACCTTTCTGGAAGATTATGCTTTCATTAGTCCTCGTTATGCAATCAACATACTAATTTAGCTCTCATTTGGATACATTTCGGTAATTTGTAGTAGCGAAGCGCTATAGGTGGAGCAGCCGCGCACACGTGCAGGGGCAATTACGAGAGTGTACGTGGTGTGGATTAAGGGTGGGTCTAGGTTGTAGGTTAATTGTTGAGGTTAATTTGATGTAAATGCAGGTCGAGTGTTGGTTATGTATAGGTTATGTGCGGGTTGTGTGAAGTCGTGTACAGGTTGTGTGAAGTCGTGTACAGGTTGTGTGAGGTCGTGTACAGTTTGTGTGAAGTCGTGTACATGTTGTGTGAAGTCATGTGCGGGTTGTGTGAAGTCGTGTACAGGTTGTGTGAAGTCGTGTACAGGTTGTGTGAAGTCGTGTACATATTGTGTGAAGTCGTGTACAGGTTGTGTGAGGTCGTGTACATGTTGTGTGAGGTCGTGTACATGTTGTGTGAAGTCGTGTACAGGTTGTGTGAAGTCGTGTACAGGTTGTGTGAGGTCGTGTACAGGTTGTGTGAAGTCGTGTACATGTTGTGTGAAGTCGTGTACAGGTTGTGTGAAGTCATGTGCGGGTTGTGTGAAGTCGTGTACAGGTTGTGTGAAGTCGTGTACAAGTCGTATGTAGGTAATGTACAGGTGTAATGTGTAATTAAGTGCACGTGGTTGCTTGCACAAGGAAGACAACAAATGTGTGAGGTGTCATGTAAGGTCTTCATTTGTCAGTAATTATGCCACATCGGCCGTGAACATGGAATCCAAATTTGCGTGTATTACGAGAGACCGGGTATTAAGTCTTGATATAAGTGGGTCCAGGTGTACTGAATGGGAATGTGTGTGCGTGTGTAAACTAGGAGCAGGAGTGGCAGTGACGGCCTTTAAACGTCAGTGAGGAAACAATTGTGTGACGCACCACTTGGAAATTTGCTTTTCCTCCTCCTCCTCCTCCATCTCCCCCCCCATCCCCTCCGCCTCGCCATGACTCTACAGTTCCCCCGCGTCACATTAACTGCTCCAGATGCATGTCTAATTGTGCCTAGCGGACCTCGCTCTACACGCAGCTTTTACAGCTGTTTTTAGCGAATTGAACTCCACCCGGGACCTACATGTTGTGCTTGTTAACCGTTTCTTAATGTTTATAGTGAAGTTAGCGTTTACTGCTGTGTTATTTCTTTACTGGACTCTGTTCTACCCAAAGAAAAACATGGCGCGCTTGTCAATTGCTTAAATATTCGCAGCGAGGTTAACTTAGGCTCTTGTTTTTGTCACCGAGCACTGAGCCATTGTGCGATGTGTTCATCACGTCATTAATGTTGAAGGTGAGGTTGGCGCTGAGTACATTTTTAACGTGGTTCTCTTTATGATGTGGTTTGTCATGGCTGATACCAAAGTTGCCTATCGCTGCGGTTAACGAAGGCCCCTGACAGGATCTACATAATATCCTTGGTGATATTACTCACGGCTGCACTTTCTAATTTCCAAGCGCATTTTAACCGCACCGACCACGAATTATGCCTCGCTGTTTACTTACACATTATCTGGCTATTTTATTTTATATTTTCCGGATTTACTCCATGAATTTATTTAAATGTGTTACATTAACATGTGAGAGTGTTAGCTGGCTTCGCCTAACACTCGCTGCGTTACAGACAAGCTGTAAAGTGTATCCACAGGTTGAACCACTCCTGTGGAACATTCACTTATACGTCATCCTGAATTTCATCCTGAATGCCTTTGCAAATGCTAATGATTACACGCACCCACTGGAGGCATGAAAGGAGCGATTCATTGTTGATTCTTTATCTCGCTCTATGATTCTATGTGTGTATTTATTATTTGTGCTTGCAGAATTGAGCTATTAGCTCTTGGTTCCAGCCTTTCTAACCGATCTATTTGTTCTTGTTATATATACTACATTTATTTCTCTAAAACACTCACACACACACACACACACACACCACCACACACCACACACACACACACACACACACACACACACACACACACACACACACACACACACACAAAACACGAACAAAGGGACACAGGTGGAAACTGAGTACCCAAATGAGCCACAGAGACATTAGAAAGAACTTTTTCAGTGTCAGAGTAGTTAACAGGTGGAATGCATTAGGCAGTGATGTGGTGGAGGCTGACTCCATACACAGTTTCAAATGTAGATATGATAGAGCCCAGTAGGCTCAGGAACTTGTACACCAGTTGATGGACAGTTGAGAGGCAGGACCAAAGAGCCAAAGCTCAACCCCCGTAACCACATCTAGGTGAGTACAGCTAGGGGAGTACACACACATACACACACTTCCAGGATATAGTTCGCGGCAGCTGTCTAACTCCCAGGTACCTTTTTACTCCTAGGTGAACCATCTCCATCAGGTGACATTTACTTTCTATGCCCATTTGTTTCCGCCTCGGCTGGGATTCGAACCCAGGCCCTTAGGACTGGGACCCCTGAGCGCTGTCCACTCGGCTCGCTCTTGTGTGTGCGTGCGTGCGTGTGTGCTTGTGTACTCACCTAGATGTGCTTGCGGGGGTTGAGCTCTGGCTCTTGGTCCCGCCTCTCAACTGTCAATCAACTGGTGTGTGTGTGTGTGCGCGCGTGCGAATCTGTGAAAACGAGCGAGCAATGTACTGGCTGCTGAGGGTGCTGAAGTAGACCATGATAAATACCTCATCCCCAAGTCTCTTTTAGAAGTCAAGGGACATCATCAAGCATCACTATGACAAGACAACCCAGGAAAGGAGGATAGAAGTGTAAGTCAGTGAATCTGTACGCTGGTACAGTGCAGTTTCAGCCGACAACCTCACTCATTATGGATGAAAAGGTGGCCGAAGAAGGGAATCTGCAATTGCATGAATTCGCTTTGGATTTAACTATCCACGGAGATTTAGGATGGAACTAACAACTGAGGAGCGAAGTTGCAGAATTTGCAGTTAGAGAAAAAGACATCGTCTGGACCTGAGAGACTGTGCCCATCTACGAGACATTAGATGCATGAACCTCGTATGTATACGTATGAACCATGTATATACATGGTTCGTATGTATATATACATGGTTCATTATACATGAACCATGTATAATGAACCTCGCTGTCCTTAAAAGGTTCTCCAACTTTGCACCCGCAAGATAATGTAAAATTGAGGGAGTTTAAGATGTTCATCAGTTGTTTTACAGTCTGTTTACTTAAGAAAGTCCCAGCTGTGTTTGGGTACAAGTGATAGGATGAACAACCCAGCGGGTTTTCTCCCTGTTGGGAGGGGAAGGTGCTGTACATGCTGCTATGGCGGTGTGTTCACTCACAGGACGAGGAGCGCTGGCTAATAAACTTATCCTCCTAGGGTTATTTAAACGTTTACAAAAATAAATTAATGCTTTGGAATCGAAGTCTGGCAAGATCGGTTGTGTACCGGCTGCTCTAGCCACTGCATTATGAATTCATTTACCTATAATTGAATTCAGTTATTATTATTATTATTTAGTTAATTAATTTTTATTGAAAAATGTATAGAGAAAAAATATAAATATCTTTGGGTATATTTATTATCTTCTCACTTCAAAGAAACACACACACATACACACATACACATACACACACACACACCACACACACACACACACACATACACATACACATACACATACACACA